GGTGCAACCTGTCACTAACATTGTGACACTATTTATTCTGTTAAATGCTCAAAATGTGTTCATCGACATTGCAACGTTCCTGGATCCCGTCCCCGACACTGTAACACACAGGAACACACAAATTCTGGTTAGCATCAATGTCTGAGAGGAACTCAGAACCCAAACTCTTATGCTTTACTACACCCCCAAAAAAGAAGTCCATAGGTGTCAGGGCAGGTGACGGTGGCAGCTAGACAACGCTGCCACATTGCTCGGTCCAATGCTGTGGGGAGGATTTCTTAAGATAACTCCATACTGCCAAGGAAAACATGAGGAGGGGTCCCCTCTTGTTGTAAGAATAGTTCGGCAAAGTCAGCCCTGGTTGCGAGTTGTGGCACCAACACATTGCGCAACATGTTAAGGTAATTGTTACCGTCCACAAAGGTATCAAAACAAAATGGGCTTGTGACACCATCACTGGACAGTCCACCCCACACAGTGATGCCGGGATGGTTTAGTTCAGTTGTGATAGTCACATGAGGATTTTCATCTGCCCAGTTCACACAATTATGCCTGTTCACGTGGCCTGACAACTTGAAACAGGCTTTTTATGACCAGATGATCTTATCAAGAAAGTCTGGTTCATGAAAACTTTGGATATGCATCATCTCACAGAATTGCAACTGACGGTCTGAAATGTCCTCCATAAGACCATGTACGAGTTTTGGATGGTACAGCTTGAAATTCAATGTGTACCTATTGTTGGCCCACCCTGTATATATATATTGTATGGTTGAACTTAATACTTCTTTCCAGCCTGGCTCTCTATGTAATTATGTAACAGTCATTCAAAGAAGATATTTTTTCCCCTTTTCATTCAATGTGAGACTTGGCAATGGCTGCTGATACTATTTGATGGTTCATTGAAACACAAACTCAGGAATATTCAGAGTTTTGTTCACACAGTGATATAAAATGGTCTAGGAAGTCTCACATGCCAAGAATGCATGGTCTATAAGGGGATATCTATTGTATTAAAGTGTATTGTATGTAAAGACAAAACGTTCTCTTGTAGTTTTAAATTCAGTAGGGAAGAATTATGTGTGCCTATAAGTTAAGGCTCTCTACTTGTCCTGTTGACCATTGCCAATTGGAGACAAAATGATGGAAAAGCCAAACTGTTGCATGTCATCAGAACAGGTGAGGGTACATGTTCCAATAAGGACACCTGTTCCGGTGACAGCTGTCTAAGAGGGGATTTTTCTCTTACTTTGGACAAATTTCCACTTACTTCCTGTTGCATCTCTGGGACAGGAAGTAAAGGGAATTCTCCCCAATGGGACACAGACTGCAACATTTAAATAGTAGTGACAAGGGGGCTGGTGTAAGGAACAGAACCACTTTGGGAAATGTTGGACCAGGAATATGAGTCACCAGCACCAGCAGCATATGAGTAAAGCACTTTTTATTCAATCGTCACATGTGTCAAACAGCCAACGTTTCGGTGGCCATGCGGCGTCCCTTCTTCTGGGCGACATAGTGACTATGAAACTATAGACACTAAGCCGACCAGAAGAAGGGACCCTGCGTGGCCCCGAAACATTGGCTGTTTGACGCATGTGACGATTGAATAAAAAGTGCTTTACTTCTTGCACACATCATCGAGTGCTGGTGACATCTATAATAAACTGTATCTGACACGGCGCCATCCGTGTTGTCACTTCAAGCACCAACCTCTTACTGAAGGTCTGTAAGCTGTATGGAGTGCAGGTGATTTCGTATTATGGATCAGGAATATAAGATACACGTGTTATAAGTGTTGAATGCAAAAAGTCCTACTGCAAGCTTAGGTCTTCAAGAGAGCTTAGATTGGTGACAAGGGCAGTAAGATAAGTAAGTATTAGTAGTGTTTTTTTCTTTTTTAATAGACAATATCGCTTTAAAAAGCCCCTCTAACATCAGCAACAACAAGACCAAAACTAATGGGAAATTCACAATTTTGCAGTTGTTACCAGGACAAGAGTCAAGGGTAAATGTTCCAAAGAAGTGAAGATAAAGCTCCCCAATGGGACACAGGCAGCCAGAAATTAAATGACAGGAGTTTTAACCATTCCTTAATATATTCAGAACTAAAAAAAAGTTTTTGCAGTGCATAAACTTTTAGGATCCTCATCTAGTCTGACCAATACGCCACGTTTAATATACAGAGACACAGAAAGACATTCTGCAGAGATTACTGATTGAATCTTCCACAACTCCCAGGCACATGAGCAGATTCCGTGGCACTGGTTACGTGATCTCATCTTTAAAAATGTAGATGACTGGCATTCAGACATCACCAGCCATTCATTTTTACTTACCTTTGTTCTTACCTTTCAACAGAAATGACCACAGCTTTAGCACCGGGCCACATGATCTGAGAGATTGAGAGATATCAACTGGTTTCTTAGAACCGGGATTGTATTTATTCACCTCTTATCATCTATATACTGTATATTTAATGTGGAAAGAAGATCAAGTCAGAGAGGAGTTCTTAAGAGATTATAGAACAGGTTCTGAGGTAAGAGGTTTAACCTCTGAAACGCGTCAACGGGAGGAAGATCAGTGTCTAGATGGCCCTGGTTTGAACACTTACTCTTCCGATTTCTGCACTTCGTTCTTTTGTTTGTCCATCTTGATCCACTTGAGACCGTTTTATTTAATGCTTGTTTTTTACAATGGATGCTGCTCCTTGATGTTTAAAAATCTTAGCTCCCTGCAGAGTTAGCTGGTCCCTTAAGCACTGATCCTGATATCCTGCTTTAGGGTGGCTTCTTTCCCTTGCAGGGCCCTATGGAGCCATCCTTGTGTGTGCTAGTAAGAAGTTTGTCTCTCCACAAACACACAGACACAGCAGGGCAATCCACTTCCCTGCCCTCCCTCCTTCTCCAAGCTAGTAGATGGACAATGGTGGAGCCTGTGCTGTCCCTTGTACTGAACAGGAAGTTCAGGGAAGCCTAGTTAAAACAGTTGAAACCAGCTGTTTGGAAACACGATGACCGTAAGTGCTTGGACCAAAATGTAAAGAAATTCTTTGCTGGGTAATGTAAATTTGATCTGAATTCATTATTGAACAAATGTTTTGAGAGTTTAATACTACTTTAAGTTGGCCTTTTACTCTTTGTGCCAATAAATAAGCTTGCTTTTCTATATATGTCTGAGATATGAATATTATAAACAGTGAACACCCAATTTACAGTATATATGTGCATGAGTGATAGAAAAGTTGTACAGCTGTCTTTTTGCCATACAATAATCATTGCATGGACACTTTTACTGTCACGACACCATGCAAATTTGATAACACATTAAAGCTCCTACATATAATTGTACAGAGACTACAGGGGACAAATATACCTACAAACAAGGTAGTATAATTTAAAATGACACTAAACTCAGGAGTTAAAACTTAAAAATACATTCAAATACCTTAAAGTGACATTAAAGTATATATTTTTTCCCTCCCCCCAATGTTAGTGTAAGCACTTACCTTAAATGATATCTCTTAACCTCTTGCCGTCCGCCCGTAGTAGAAAAACGGACGGACGGCACTGCAGCATCTGCGGGTTCCCGTCTCCAGACGGCAATTTTTTTCTGCTCGCGCGCGCATTCTTCTTTCCTGACGTTTTCAGATGTCCCTCCAGCGCTGCTGCTGGTCTCCGATCCAGCGCCGACTCCTCTGTGCTTGCTGGCACTTCCTGTCCCACGGAGTCTGTGCGGGTGCACGCTGTCCATAGACTTACCTTGGGTCTCTCCTCCTCTCCCGGGCCGAAAATTTGAACTGCGCATGCGCCCGCCCCAATATGCTTTGCGGCAGCCTGAGATTTTTCAGATTTCCGGACGGGAGCGCGCGGTGAAGACACAGGTAAGTTTTAACCTATTTTAAAGCGTTTTTTAACGTTTTTGCATATATCTACTGCTTGCTAGCAGATGATATATGCAAAAAAACCGGAGGATTTAATAACCCTTTAACTATTAACAAAAATGTATCTTATTTGTATATCACTCAGCTGTAGATCCTCAAATCATCTGTGAATTGGTGCTGACATTGTCCTTCTTTCTGCACGGTGGCTACTTTTGTTCCCCATGGTCCCTGTGTGTGTTGTAAAGTAGCCAAAGCTCCAAGCTCACTCCTGTGATGGACTACAATCTCAATATAAATGAGTAAATTAAACCTGAGATTGTAGTCCATCACAGGAGCGAGCTTGGAGTGGTGGCTACTTTACAACACACAAACTGACCATGGGGAAGAAAAGTAGTCACCCTCCAGAAGGAAGGACAGTGTCAGCACCGATTCAGAGATGCTTTGACGATCTACAGCCGATTCATACACAAATAAGATGAATTTGTATTAATAGTTAAGGTACTTGAATGCATTTTTAAGATGTAAATCCTGAGTTTAGGGTAACTTTAAATGTGTGGAAGGGGGCGAGCTCCTTTGACAGTTACATACAACTTTTGAAATATTGGCTAATCACATAAAAAAACCTCTGAATTTGAACCCGCCAAATATTTATGCCCGCGAGTGCACATAATATATATAATATATATTTAACCCTTGTTTGAAAACTCCTTTGGGTGTTGTGATCTTATTATGGGGTCATCCATCTGAGCCCAGGAATTTTTCAGACCCACCCCAGGTTCCAAACGTAACCCCTTAGAGCTCAGAAAACCCCCGCTTCCTAGGGACACTTGTTGATAGAAGCACTTAACCTCACGTTTTGAACCACTAGGACACATCTTGAAGAGCTGAAAGGAAAACACTCTGACCATCTCATTTTCTTTTCCTTTCTCTACTAGGGAGAAGAAAAAAAAGGGAAGGGGGGTCAGGGGTCACCGTTGAGAGAAGGAGGGGGCGTGTGGAAAGATTTATCCAAGAACCAGAGAGAAAAGAAAAAGGGAAGAGAGAGAGAGAGAAAAAAAAAAAGGTTGTGTTTTCTTCTAGACGTCAGAAAAGGCGTTTTTTGGTCACTTGGCTGAAAGTGCATGTGAGTGAGAGTTGGTCCCTGCCCTAGAGGGGGAGAGAAGACAGGGAGAGTTAAGGAGAGGAGAGGAAGAGGAGAAAACGAGATAGCACACACTAAAAGAAAAGCAGACAGTGGGGGAAGTAAAGTCAGTTGCGGGAGAGAACAGATTAAAGGCTGCAAGTTCTTGAGAGAGAAGCAGAAGGAGAAGGAGAAGCAGCAGGGAAAAGTTACTGGAAAAGTTCAAAGAGGAGAAAGGAAGTTTTTTTTTTTTGAAGTTTACAGAACAAGGGAGGCAAAGTTTTCTAAGTCTGATCTGAGGAGGGGGGAAAGAAGCTGTTAAGTGACCAGGGCAAGGGGCATGGATAGGGATCTTGGCCTGGACAAGTCAGGACCCCCACACACAATGCGGATTTTGGAAACCCCAGAACTTCCCCACAGCAGGAAGAACTTCAGTGTCAGCCACCTCCTGGACCTGGAGGAAGCAGCAGCTGCAGGGATGCAGGGCTCCCGAGATCTGCGGCCACCGAACGAGGAAGAGGACAAGGACCCGATGACAGGGGGCAGCAGTGACAGCGAAGTGACGGTGCAGGAAGGTAGGTCCCCACCGCGCCGGCTTTGGGACCATCTGGGCTGCACCCAAGAGATGCTTCTCAGAGATGGGGAGGGGTCAGTGCTGGTAAGGGGGTGTGTGAGTCTGATGTCCGGATAATTGTTCAAATTAAGAAATATTTTCTGTCTCATCGCAGTGGAGATAAGTAAACTTGGCAAGGCTCCAGCAGCTGATGTAGACTGAATAACGGTTCACTTGCATGCCGTAGACAATACGATTGCAAGCTTTTCACATTGCACAATGCCTACACTAAGAGCCACATGGGCTTAGTAAATGTAAGGCGCATTGCCAGTGACAGAAACCGACTGAGCACCGTTCATTCAGTGGGGGGCAAAAGTTGGGCATATATGGCATTTTTGGGCAGAAATTATAATAGAGCCAATAACCGATTGTTCTCCATATGATTACCAAGCTAAGCATTTCCATCTCTATTCTGACTTATGATGAATGCTATTTTTCTGACAATATTATATGTATGGGGTATACAAGATAGCCAGCGTACTGGACAATGTCTGCATTTCCCTTAGAGATGAGGAAGTAATCAGGTGACGGCAGACACACATTTTTATCTCTGACATATGTATAGATATACTAAACATTTGAAGGGTACTTCATTTTTGTATGTGAATTTTTGTTCACTTAAACATTTATGACACCATTAAAATGTTTAGGAGATTTCCTTGAGATTCATTGTAAACGATTGGATGTTTGAAACGACCAGAGATTCGCTGACCCAGCCTAAAAAACCGAATCCTTTAATAAATCAGCTCTTTAATGCGCCAGCAGCTAGGCTGAAGATTCCAAGGCTTGCTGGACACCGAACCCAATACACATATGCAATAAATCTCCTCCTGATTATCCAGTAGTTTAAACACCCTGCCACTACACCCTTCTTAGGACTCTGTTTTATAGGCCATGCAAAATATAATTTACGATGCTTACAAATGAAGTCACTTCTAGAATGCAGGCTCTATTATATAGTCTGATGTCTTTAAGCTGATAAGTTCCGCATTTTTCAAGTGTCACGGGGTGATCTTTACAGAGAACTATTACTAATGTGGAGTTCCACTCTGCCATTGGTGGTGATATCTCCAGCACACTGGAAAATGTATGCCACTGTAAAGTTTGAACTTCCACTGTGCAGGCGTTTGACAGTAAAAATAAATAGATAAGATATATAGCCCGTAGAGAAATGCAAATGACAAAAGCATGTGTTCAAGTTGACATTATTCGCAACTAAACAATAGAAAAATTCTCAATCACAATTCCAAGTAGGCAGCACAAAAAAATTTACTGAACTGTTTCAACAACTCGGCTTAAAAAATACATTTTTGCTGCATACATTTTAAGTTGATGTTTTTTTGGGTTATGTGCTGGCTATCTGGAAACTTGTCATTGCTCTGTATACAGCCCTCTGTGTACACTGGCACCCCTTCTGCTTGTTTTAAATTATTCTGAGCCGTTGCCATTGTTGCTTTGAGTTTTACATACGCGGAAAAAAAGTGATCTTTTCAAAATGAGCTTATATATGATTTTTTTTTCTTTTTGTTCAATCACTCAAAAGATCTAGCTATGTATGCCGCAGGCCTTTGCGTCGTAAAATAGGTTAATGAAAGCTGTAACCAATTTTCCTTTTCCAAAATGGAGGCAGCTGTCATTCGCCTAGATTTGACATCAATATGACCGTCACACAAAAAAAAAAGAGAAAATAAGGTATAAATTATCTAGCGCATGTTGACTATTGTTCACCTGAAGGAAAAACGTAAAACTCCGGAAAGTCTTATAAATGTTATGTCCGGGGAAGCTGAAATAGTCACAATTTGGTAAAACTAAAATAATAGTGTAACGGGAATCTGTCATCGACCTATAAACTGGGTAAAGGTTTGTTCTACAATGTTACATTGTTACGGAAGTCTGAATCCAGGCAGACACTTAGGTGGCCGTTATTACCTAGCAGTGGTACCCAGAAATCGAAAGATTCCAATGGGTTTAGGCTTCATACATTTTAATAAATCACAGAGTTTGACATTGAAATGAAACAGTAATTCCTCAATGCTTACTTTAAAGAGAGGTATTATTTTACATAAGCCCGATAGGGTGAATTGGCTTATTGTGTTCCATATCCAATAATCCAATTATTTTTGGGCACGTGATAAAAAAAAAAAGATTTCCGAAGGGTTTTTTCATTGAAATAGTCTATTTTTTTTAATCGTTATGCAGAATGAAGTGTTCATTCTAGCGGAGTTCTTAACAAGAAACATCCTGGGTTTTTTTAAACATCATTACAAAAATATTTTTTTGAATCAGTGCAAAAAAAAAGTATATTTTATAGGCGTTAAAAAATAAAATAAATAAATAATACAAATAAAAGCCATAAATTACACAAGATTAAAAATAAATACTCTAAATTCACTATCATACATGTGTGGATAGAAAAGTAGGTTATAAATAGGGAGCGATAGATAGATAGATAGATAGATAGATAGATAGATAGATAGATAGATAGATAGATAGATAGATAGATAGATAGATAGATAGATATGTCATAGATAAAAAAAGATGATAGATAGATAGATAGATAGATAGATAGATAGATAGATAGATAGATAGATAGATAGAAATATGTGTCATAGATTTAAAAAAAGATGATAGATAGATAGATAGATAGATAGATAGATAGATAGATAGATAGACAGATAGATAACCATGGTATCTACTAAGGAACTAATTTTGCACTGACTTAAATACACATACTTAGTTTTTGTAGTTCCTCATCCAGATATATAAAAAAGCAAAACAAAGGCCAGTGTTAAAATGACTCCTCTAGATAAATAGGTAGATAAACAGATAGATAGACGGATAGATAGATAGACGGATAGATAGATAGATAGATAGATAGATAGATAGATAGATAGATAGATAGATAGATAGATTGATTTTGTAAATCATCTCCTTTATTTTTTATTCTGCTGTCAATCTTTTTTGAGTCTTCCGAACAGCAAAGCAGCCCGTTCTTGCAGACCCTTGGGGGAATGGGGGGCAGTTTTTAGTCTTATAAATTGCCCCGCCAGGTAAATTGAACTGTCTTAGGCTTTTGTACAGAGCCAATATATGTTAGAAAAAAGATGATAGATAGATAGATAGATAGATAGATAGATAGATAGATAGATAGACAGATAGATAACCATGGTATCTACTAAGGAACTAATTTTGCACTGACTTAAATACACATACTTAGTTTTTGTAGTTCCTCATCCAGATATATAAAAAAGCAAAACAAAGGCCAGTGTTAAAATGACTCCTCTAGATAAATAGGTAGATAAACAGATAGATAGACGGATAGATAGATAGACGGATAGATAGATAGATAGATAGATAGATAGATAGATAGATAGATAGATAGATAGATAGATTGATTTTGTAAATCATCTCCTTTATTTTTTATTCTGCTGTCAATCTTTTTTGAGTCTTCCGAACAGCAAAGCAGCCCGTTCTTGCAGACCCTTGGGGGAATGGGGGGCAGTTTTTAGTCTTATAAATTGCCCCGCCAGGTAAATTGAACTGTCTTAGGCTTTTGTACAGAGCCAATATATGTTAGAGGAAAGTAATTAAGGTCAGCGCAGACTTTGATTGGCTGGCTCATCAACATGATTAACAAAAATGTTGCAGAGAAGATAGATAGATAGATAGATAGATGTGTCATAGATAAAAAAAGATGATAGATAGATAGATAGATAGATAGATAGATAGATAGATAGATAGATAGATAGATAGAAATATGTGTCATAGATTTAAAAAAAGATGATAGATAGATAGATAGATAGATAGATAGATAGATAGATAGATAGACAGATAGATAACCATGGTATCTACTAAGGAACTAATTTTGCACTGACTTAAATACACATACTTAGTTTTTGTAGTTCCTCATCCAGATATATAAAAAAGCAAAACAAAGGCCAGTGTTAAAATGACTCCTCTAGATAAATAGGTAGATAAACAGATAGATAGACGGATAGATAGATAGACGGATAGATAGATAGATAGATAGATAGATAGATAGATAGATAGATTGATTTTGTAAATCATCTCCTTTATTTTTTATTCTGCTGTCAATCTTTTTTGAGTCTTCCGAACAGCAAAGCAGCCCGTTCTTGCAGACCCTTGGGGGAATGGGGGGCAGTTTTTAGTCTTATAAATTGCCCCGCCAGGTAAATTGAACTGTCTTAGGCTTTTGTACAGAGCCAATATATGTTAGAGGAAAGTAATTAAGGTCAGCGCAGACTTTGATTGGCTGGCTCATCAACATGATTAACAAAAATGTTGCAGAGAAAAAGAGAGAGCCTGTATTTTATATGTTCTATAGAACCCATGAGCACATTTACATAGATCTATATGTAATAAAATGCTAACAGTGAGATCATCGGGTCAGCCCAGTAAACTTGTGTTTGTGTTAAACCCCCAATTAGGTTACTGTGTTGTTGTTTTTTTTATGGTACTCAAGTTAGGTCCTTGGAGTGAAAAACATTTTTCCTTTTTTATTTTGGTAAATAACTTCTGTGGCTTACTTATGAAGTGACTGTCATCCGTTTTTGATTCCATACTTTGTTTCTACAAAATAAAAAAACTTGTTGCATGTATAAAACCTTTTCATTACTAACAAAAAAACACACAAGTTTTCATTGCTTTGAGATTTTATTTTAGGGCACGTTGTTAATCATTTCTGTATATAAAATGATATAATCACATATATTCACAAGCAGTAAATATGCGCCCATTGAAATGTATTTCAGTGCTGGAAATATGTAGCTAAACTCCACTTTCCGTAAAACCTCAGCGACTTGCTGTGTTTATTTATTTTAAATGAACAATTGAAGGTCTGGGGAATTAAAAAAATGAACAAAGGCCAGAGATTCCTGACCGTATTATATTACGTGCTCTAAAACGGCAAAAAGGAACATGACAATGGAGCCATGATATGTG